AAACGACAAAATGAAATAACATAAATCCAATAATGCATACAGATACGGTGGCATAACTCTTCGATAAATTAGCATATGAAGTAAGTTGGTTAGCAATGAATCCGCGATAAGGAAAAAATGTCCACAAGTTACTCAAAAATGCTACAAACGCAACAAAATTACCGAAGATAAGCGCAATTAGCGTAAGCGACGTGGCCAGCTAATAGAAGACTATTCAGATAGGCAAAACTAACCAAATAAACTGGAATGAAATTTATGCAGCTTAAAGAGACCTAGTTTATGTGTAAGTTGGTTTAGCCCAACTGCGGTGAAGAAGCATGTAGCGCCCAAAAAGATAACTCTTATCTTTCGTGTACAATTTACTTGTTGACCGATTGTACATTACTCCTTCTTGTTTTAATCTTACAACCGGCTCGACACACAACTGCCTTGTAAGTCCCCGCGCTCACGTGTACGCTCTTGCCTCGCTTCATCCGTCCGCTTATTGTTGTAGCCCATCGAATACAGTCCGCTGTGTCCGACTCCAATTGCCTTCTGATATCCGCGCATCGTCTCGGACTAGTATTGACTAGTCCTACAAGCATCAAGAATGCAACATCAGCCTCAGCATGGGGCACTGAAGACATGATATATATATATATATATATATATATATATATATATATATATATATATATATATATATATATATATATATATATATATATATATATATAGTCAGCAGTCTATAAGATTAGACACAGAGCCAGCGAAAAGCATGAAACAGAAGTAATAAATACAGGTACCACAAAGAGAAGGAAAGTTACAAAATGGTTTTGTATTCGCATCTTGTCTCCTTTTCGCACGCCGTTTTATCATTTTTGTCTGTTTAATGTTTGCGATATAAATCTAGAAAATCAAGACAAACATTTGCGTACATTTTCCATTGGGACCGGTTCTGCACCACCTCCGAAAGAGTTTCCAGCCAGCGGTGTTCTTTATATTTGCTTCCCCAGCCCGGAAGACGCACGGGACCTACGACCGATAAACTGGAAGTCAGCGCTTTAATCGTTTGGCGCCACATGATAGGCTGGTCACCGCGCGATTTCTTCCAGCCCGGTCCCGTGTGAGCGAAGAGAGCGCGTCGAAACAGCCGTTCGCGTGGCATGCGTAAAACGTGGCCCAGCCATCTCAGCTGGCGCAGCGCTACCAGTCTGTCAAGTGGAAGTCCCATGTTACCCAAGACGCAACTTCTAACATCATCGTTGCGCAAGTGGTTCGTCCACCACTCGAGCTGTTCTCCGCAGACATCCATTGTCAAAGGCCAAAATCCGACGCAAGTCATTCACACGAGTCGGCCAGGACTCACTCTCATATAGCAGCACCGCGCAAACACAGACATTGTAGACCCTGCCCTTTACCAACATTGAAACGTCACGGCGTCGTCATAGGTGCCTCAAGTTGGCGAATGCCGAACGGGCTTTGGCAATGCGGAAAATTACTTTTTCAATGCTACAATCAGCAGAGACACAGCTTCCAAGGTAGACAAAGTTGTCTACTTGTTTAAGCTGCATAACTTGGCAGGCGGATGCCAATCCAGGACCAGGACTTTGTATTTCGTTGGGACAAATATGATTCCATATTTAGATGCTTCAATCGCCAAGCACTCATGTCGCCATGTGACTGAAAGAGTGAATAATCTAGTGATCGTCTTTAAGCTTCGCTTACTGGCTTTACTCTGCTGTTTCATGGGAGAGTTTCATGTTAATATAGAAAATGAAAATGAAAAGTCAGCCGATTTTTCACTAGAAACACTGCTGCACTATTACTTTCCGTCCTTTCTCTTATATGCCTATGTGAAAAATCTCATGTCTATATGGAAACTAAAAAGAGAAAGTCAATCGATTCTTATCTTTAGTCGCTGCTTATTCCTACTTCCTGTCCTTCCTCTACCGTAATTAATTAGAGATAACATCAAATTCATAGCTGAAAAGGAGAGGATAGTCAGTTCTGCAACCCGTTTCTTCAAGCCATAACCCCAGTACACTTATACTCGATATCCACCAATAATCTTTAGCCCATGCAACGTGGCCGGCGCGTAGTCTTAAGGATCATAAGCCTGCCTTGTAATCTGAGGGCGCGGGTTCCCGGCTGAGTAGGGACCGGGCGACCATCGCAGTATTCTAAGCCCACGTGCGACCGGTGGTGGTTGCGCTGCAGCGAAGCATCAGTACTGTGTACCAGTGTACTGCAGATGCTATGCAACGTAGAGATTTTCGTTTGCTTAGACTCCACGTCCGTACTACAGGATTCGTTAACATCCATGCTTAAGTGCACTCGAGAACCTATAAAACAGCTAACCGAGTTAAGGTATGTAAATTTCTACTAACTTTCTTTTACTGATACACTAATATAATCGTTACTAGTAGCTTTCTATTCGGTTAAGTAAAATCACTTCCTCGATGAGATGTACCGCCGACGACATCTATGATAGCAACGAACATGAACACTTGAAAATTCCATAGGAAACGGTTAAAATTTTAAAAAATACTACGGAACCTGGAGAAAATTTTAGCATTTATTCAGTATACCGATACCCACAACTATATGTTGACGTCCGAATTTGGGCACATTCACTTATTTATGTAGGAGTGAACATAGGTAGCTCAGGTTGATCACTTGTTAGACAAACTCTTCGCTGAGCTAGGTAAATTTGTTGCACTATTGTTACTAAACATTTTCACACTTTCACTCACTACCGGATGCTTTCCAGCTCAATGGAAGCAATCCATTATAATGCCTAAGCACAAGGGTGGACCGAGAAATCAAATGTCAAGCTACCGCCCAATAAATCACACCTCTGCTGCTTCCAAAGCCCTAGAACGAATAGTCAAGAAGAACATCGTCCAATATTTTACAAGACTGGATCTGATCAACCCTTCACAGCACGGCTTTCTCTCAAAACGCTCCTGCGTTACATGCCAGCTACAATTTCTCGATCACATCACGACTATGATTGACAGAGGAATGGCAATTATTATAATTCTGTTGGACATGCAAAAGGCGTTCGACCGCGTGCCAAACCAGCCACTGCTGTCTGCTCTAGAGTCATATGGAATTGAAAATCCGCTGCTTAACTGGTTCGACTCATACTTAAACGGTCGAACACAGGTCGTTAAAATCGGTCAGCAACATTCTACAACGAAGCCGATAACCAGCGGTGTCTTCCAGGGAAGTGTGCTCAGACCACTTCTTTTCCTATTCTACGTGAACAACATATGTGACCCGATCAAACATGGCCACCAATTTCTGTTTGCAGATGATGTCAAACTGGTTTACTCATTTCATCCAGACCAACTACATATGTGTTTGGGAAACATCTGTGAAGACCTATCCGCAATAAATATAGCTAGTGAGCGCTTATTAATGAAGTTCTCCGCAGTGAAATCCCAAGTACTTGGGTACAGATGCCGCATCCCAGAAGGCTCCATTATACTTGCCGGAAACATGATCCCAACGTCTGATTCAGTTCGGGACTTAGGAATTAGGTACTCCAACTCTTTCAATTTCTCCGAACATGTTCTTTATCAGGTTGCGAAAGCAAGGCAGCTATGCGGATATATCACCAGAACTTTCTCCCTACCTGAAGTATGACTTGAATCATTCAAGACAATAGTACGACCGACTCTGAAATATTGTACTATCCTTCACAGCCAATTGAGAAAGAAAGACAGAACGGTTCTAGAAAATATCCCACGATCATTTACCAAACTGCTCGTGGGACGCTGCTCAAACCTGACTTATTATGATCGCTGTCGAAAACTCCAGCTGAATCCACTTTGGCTGAGACACTTAAAGGGCAACCTCGTTCTCTTCTACAACATTATAAACCAACGAATTTACGCAGACAGCACCGCACTTGAACTACGGAAGACTGCAGTCTACCACACACGTAATGGCGGCTACTTGATACGTACAAACCTTTCAAGTCATAAAATTCGGTCGAATTTCTTCTTAGTGATATACACTTATCTGTGGAACAAACTACCCCTACAGATACGCATGTGTACAAGCCATGTCACTTTTCGAAATCTCCTTCAGACCTTCCTCACTATACCAAATGCTCTGAAGATATTTGACTCACAGCAAACACTAGAAACATTGACAGAAGTTGGTATAAAAAATATGATAATAGCATACAGCTAGCTTACCCACTACATGTCATTACATATCATACCAAATCCTGTGTCTTTGCAGCCTAATAGTCCCTTCCTTTATTATCTACTCCTGACGATACAAACATCCGTAAATTTTACATATAAGTTGCGCGGGTCTAGGACTCAACGAAAAGTAATCATGATCCGAAATGCTATCAATAAACTTTTATTTAATGTTATGAAACGTGTTCACTATACAAATGATCGCTCCCACTTATGGGGCCGTGTACCGTCCGTCGGTAAATATACAAATTTATTTATTTATTTTATTTATTTATTCAAAGATTTTGCCACCAATCAAGGTGACATCAACAGTGCGTTAGTATGTAGCGAAGAGGGGCGATTAGTATTCACCCACTTCCATTGGAAAACGCGAACCATCTATAATGTCCTGGATCTAACCCACGTGGGATAAGCATCTCGCAAAGTTAAGAAATAGAATATTTATTAACTTAAGAAACCAAGTACTTTGAATAGGTAAACAGGTAATAAGTGCCAGAAAACCTGGAAAACGGACACGGTCTCCAAATTCTGTGCTAGAAGCACGTGTGATTATAAGAGCGTGGAAAGACACCGACTTGAACTCAATGGAATGCCTCACTGAAGTTGGATTCTGTTGCGTGCCTAAAGGTCAAGCATCCCGGGTATGAAAAATGCAGATTTGGGAAAGCTTGCAGGGGACTACAAATAAATTCTAGCGCAGCGTTTGGTGGGCAGTTAGTGGAAAGATCTTCATCACAGAAACAGCGGAACCGGGTTCATACTACTCCAGTAAGTGGTTGTCATCAGTAAAAATGATAGTGACCGAAATTATCCGATAAGCGCAAATGAAAAATACGCAACAGAACAACAACTGTAACACACTTCTCCATTTATTAAGTAATCAAAGGGAGAAACAGATCTAAACTCAAACTACCCCATACGGAGATAGCAACGTCCTGGTCGAGTCGGCGCACGGTTACAATCACAATGATGTCACCAATCAGGCCTTAAGAGCCGCTTTAGTATGTTCCTGCTGAATTCGTTGTTGTAGCTTCAAAATTTGTTCTCGTGCACAATCTTGCTGTTTCTCCAAATCGGATATTCGTGAATCCTGACGTTTGCTGAGGCCTGTTAAAACGAAAAAGGAGTAACCTACATTTCGGAAGAAATGAATTCGATCCGTTTCTTGATAGTTTCCGTTGCATCTTGTAAGTTTTGCTTGATAAGACAGGGGCCGATCAATCGGTAAATACTGTTGGATTCACTGAGATGACTCAAATCTTCATTGACATTTTCGTTTTCAGAGAGCTGAGCATTTAACTGACGATGAGCCTGTAAACAACGCTGTATTTCTTTCTGGATTCCCTGCACTTTTTCGACTTCCGAATTTAACTTTCGATAGACCCCATCCATCGTGAACTTGCTGTAAAAGGAAAAGGATGGAAATATGTATCGCATTCGCAAGGTGGATAGATAGAGCAAAATTACAATGTCAGTAGATAAGATCGTGATCGAATGCAAGGATATATGGAGCAAAAGCCAAGCAGTGAAAGGAGAATCGCACTGCAATACAGTGAGGACGAAAGATAACTAAACGAAACGCCGCCAGCTAGAAGATAAAAGCATTAGAACAATTAGCATTTAAGGTAAGAAACGACACACCTACCACGATTTTTAAATAAATCGCGTAAGTAGGGATGTTGTTTGACACAACCTTTCAACTTACTTCGAAAACCCATGTATAGTAGATTAATAATAACAAAGGCAGGGTCATCGCCAATTATTCCCTCGCCATGCAAATCTTATCCAAATACAAGTGCGCATGGATATGAGTTTCACTCTGACAACGGACAGACTACATAGTCTACGCGCGGGCTAAGATGTATGAGGTGGGACAAAGAAACTCACAGCACGAACGTCACGGATGTCGGCTCCTAGCCATATCAACAAGCGTATCCAGCCAAACTTGTTCATCGTCTTTCGGACCTCAATCAGGGAGCCAAAACGCTCCAATTGAGGCCAGGTTCGAAGTGAGGGCCTTCATTCCTCTTGACCAAGCTATCGTTTGACCTCCTCTCCTCTTCCAACCGCAACCACGGCGTGCAAACAATGCACGTCGCGGGAGTCGGGGTAGTGACATGAGTAACATGCGACCGAGCCATCGCAGCCTGGTGCGTGAAATGACTGTGCTGAGCGGTTCATTTCCTTTTTCTGTGCCGCAAACAAGGTGTCGAACACGCTCGTTGCTCACCCGGTCTCCCCATCAGATGTGAGCCAAATTGCGAAGGCACCGGTGGTCGAACGTAACTAGCCTCTATATGTCCGCTGATCTGAGGGGCCAGGTTTCACAACCGTACAGTAGGGTCGAACGTACCGTTGTATTGTAAACTCTACCATTCAGAGCGAGTGATGTCGCGTCGGTTTCATAAGTGGCGAAGGTTAGCACGAGCGCCTCGAGCTTTGCTATACGGTTCACGACATCACGTTCAATCACACGGGCGCTGAAACAACTTCCCAGGTAGTTGAGTTTCTGAACGACTTCTAGCTGATCCCCACCAAAGGTCAGCGAAGGAGGCGGTCCAAGCCAATCCTGGAGGAATGCTTTGCACTTCCAGGGTGCGAAGCAAAGCCCAAAGTGAAGGACAACCACTGCCAATCTGTCCAGTGCAGCTTGGGACGTTTGTGAGCTGTCACAGATTAGGGCAATATCGTCAGCATACTCCAACCAAAAAAGTCGTTCTCATGAGAGCAGATCCACACCTAATAAATTGTGTCCTGAAAACGCGATTTAAATTACTTAGTCAATAGCGACGTTGAAGAGAAAAGGTGACAGCTAGTACCCTTGCTTCACACTGCCGGAGATATTAAAGGGAGACGACGGCTTGCCGTAAGCCCTCAAACTGCATGAGATACGGGGATGTAAGGATCGGATAACATAAACTTATATCTCAGGCAAACCACTTACAAGCAGACAGTCCCAAAGTGCACATCCATCTACCGAATCGAAGGCATCTTTTACGTCAAGAAACACGAGAACGGTGGGTCGCCAATAAACATGGCGGTGCTCCAACAATCGACGCAAGGTAAAGATGTGGCCGATGCATCCCCGACCTCGACGAAACCCGGCTTGCTCTTCACGAATATGGCTTTCACGAGTGCCAGTCAGTTTGTGAAAGATGACAGAGGCGAGCAATTTGGAGGCGATGGAGATCAGACTGATTCCTCTATGGTTGCCGCATTCCGATCGTGAGCCTCCCTTGAAAATTGGGACAGTTTCCTGCTCCCACAGTTTCACTAGTAACTCGTATAAATCATCCACAAAAGCACGTCCCCCGAATTTAAAGAGGGCTAGAGGAAGACCATCTGGTCCTGCGACTTTATTTAACTTCAACAGTGCGATCTCAGGTCCGACTTCTGAGCGAGAGGGTGGATATAAAAAGGGACAGCCCACGGAGCGGGGCGATCAGTGACCGGCGAGAAATCTAACAATTCCGACCGATTAAATTGCCTTTCAAAGTGCTCAGCCCAACGCTCCAAGCGTGTTGACAAGTTGTGGATAGGCTGTCCACTCTCGTCACGTATAGTTTCACTAACAGCACGTCTCCTGCTGCCCGTTTCCCGTATCAGCTGGAATAGCTTACGATGGTTACCGAACGCAGCGGCCATTTCCATCTCTGAAGCACGATGAGATCACCAGAATTCGCGGTCTCTCTTCAGGCTAGGACGGAGTTTTGCCTGGAGCTCTTTGCGAGTTTCATTGTGTTCGCTCCCAGCCGGAATATGCCGGCGAGCATCGATAAATTTCTGAGACTGCGAAGAGACCCAATGTCCGCGATCACGCAGTTTCAACGATACGGTGCAGACGTTGATGGCGATCTTCAGGGACACCTCAACCTTGTTCAACGCCCGCTTCCAGTGCCTACAAATAGTCAAGCGGGACGCCGACGATTTTGTCACTTACGCTGGCCTCCCCAATCTTGTGGCCATTTCAAGCTCGGATCTCTTACTGAAGACCAGTTTCGATGCCTAATTTTCGTCTGTAATCTCTAGCCACCACGCGATGTAGATATGCGAACCAGATTACTGGCTAAGATCGATTCGGACCCCGACATCACACTGGCAGAACTGGTGCACGTATGCGAGCGGTTACACAATCTGAAGCACGATACTGAAATGACTCAGCTAACTGGCAGACGTCGTTCTATGCCCATGGTTGATGCTACCTAGTCCAAGCAGAAATCACCATCGACGTCAGCCACTGCTAGCCACCCCAGTCCGAAGAACCTCCTATACACCTGTCGCTACTGTTGTTCGTGGCACTACCACAAGTTCTGTCCACTCAGACAACACCGCTGCCGACGGTGTCACGCAATCCGACATCAAGAAAGTTTCTGTCAGTTGCCGCCACTTAATAAGAACAAGTAAGCCCAAGTTAACAAGTCTCGCAAACGGCAAATTCCAAAACGATCGGAAAATCATCTCGTTTACTCGTCACATTATAACTCAATGCCGATACACAAACAGAAGAATGGCTTGGTTCATATCAATGGAAATCCAGTTCGTTTGCAACTTATCACAGCCTCTGACATCACGTTTATCTCGAGGAGGCTCTGGCTCTCCCTTGGTAGTAATACGGTTGAATCATCCAGGCGGACAGCCTGTGCTTGTGGTGGCTCAGTGCATTTGACTGGACGAATAGACTGCTAAGTGTCCTTCCGAGGAAACATTATCAAGGCAGTCCGTTACGTTTCTGACTCTAAACTCGACCTACTTGGACTACTGGCTTAAACCTCTTGGTCTCATTAATCTGCCGATACGTTCCATCTGCAACCAAGTGCAGCCCAACATAGTATCCTTGATCCTAACACAGGCTGGCTTGCCGAACAACCTCCTCGTGGTACCAGCTGGGTGGTTCGGGATTTTCCCCTTCCAGCAAATGGTTCGGCGGCAGTGTTCCAGGACGTGGTGAGCTTCCGACTGGCAAGCGTTCTCCCTATAAAAAACCACATATGTCCGTTTAACAACACTGTGACATGGCGGACGTGACTCGCCACTAAATAAAGTCACTGCCCCTTGCTTCATCCTGGCGAAGCATTGTATCCCAGCAGATTTATGCCGTAATTCTGGGGAGCATTGGGCCCCTATTTGACAAAGGAATAAACGAAAGGTGTATGAACTGAGCAATCAGGCACCAACTCCCAATCGGCGCGATTCCATGAATTCGCTCCACTGTCTTGCGGGCAGACTATTCAGCCAAAGGTTGGGGGTGGTGTCGCCTAAGTCAACACCCTACTTCGGCTTGGGCAACCGGGTACCATCTCACCCTCTGAGGAAACCATGGACTTTGATGTTTTGTGTTGTGTTTTCTTTTATTATTTCTGTACCCCATGGTTTCTGATGGCATCATGTCTATTCGTAGACTGTTACAAATATATATATATATATATATATATATATATATATATATGGCTTAACACAATAAATCACCAATCAGTTCTCCGACGTTTTCAAGGAGGGACTTGATATCTGCACCCACACTAAGGTCACGCTTCAACTACAAGCCAACAGCAAACCTGTCTTCCGCCCAAAAAAAACTAGCATCTTACGCTGCTCTGCCGATCGTCGATCAGGAGCTCAGGTGTTAAAGAACAAGTTTCCCAAAATAAAGTTCGAGGGGATCAGCGATAAGGAAATGCGCATTGTTTCCACTTTTGATAAAAGTCTGGAAAAAAGAGTCACTTAAGGAACGATGACCCGCACAACACCAACCAACAACCGTTCCTCTCCAGAACGAACTTATGTCACTGTGGATGCCCCTATTGCATCTGGCTTCCTTCATCGTCAAACACGCGCTGGTCATAAACTGATCACATTGCCATAAATCAGGAGTGACGAGGCGGCGTACGCGATTTCCGCTAAATTTCATCGACTTATACCATCATCATCATCAATACACTTTAGTTAGGGTAAGAAACACCTCAGCTAACGTGCCGCAATATATAGAAGTTACAAAAAAGTACGCTGCAAAAAATGCAAAGGCAAGTAATATAAAGTTAAAAATGCTAGTATGTAATTCGTATGTGATTGGAAGTGACGGGGAACCTAAAGGGAACAGGATGGACAATGAAAATCAAAACAAAAACTGCACCGGGCACGCTCCTAGCCATATCAGCAAGTGTGTCCAACCATACGTGCTAATCGTCCTTAGGACCCCAACCAGGCAGGCGGGATGCACTAACCGACGCCAACTTCGAAGGTAGGGTTCTCATTTCTCTCGACCAAGTCATCGCTTGGCCTCCTCTCCTCTTCCAACCGCATCCACGGCGTGTAAACAATGCACGTCGCGGGAGTCGGTGTGCTGGCATGCGCAACACGTAGCAAAACCATCGGAGCAGGGTGTGAAATAATGGTGCTAAATAGTTCG